GTTATCATATTATCTCTCTCTGTATGCATATGTGTGTGTGTGCAATGCAGACAGCACACTTGTATTAATCTTGTAATCTCAAGGGAAAAAACAAAAGCAGCTGATGAGAATGCATCACTGACCCATCATCCTTTCTCTCTAATTAAAATTTAATCTGTCACGGGGCTCTGCAAGAGAGCCTGGTCTCTGCATGCAACCATTTAAGTCTTCCCAGGCAAAATGAACTTCACTGATGTTCATGCTTTTTACAGGAACCTATGCTTTTTTCTGGTTTGCAAAGTGCTTTATAAACATTTTCTCAATTGATCTTCATAACAACCCTGGGACGGTAGATGCTATTATTATTCCTATTTTATAGGTGAGGAAACTGAGGCAGACAGAGGTTAAGTGACTTGCCCAAGGTCACCCAGCTGAATTGTCCTCCTGACTCTAAGTCAAAGACTCTCTCTACTGTGCCCCCTAGCTGCTCCTCCCCTCCCTGCCCCCCCCATCCCCACTCCATTGCTTCATTGGTCATGTGAAGGTGGCCTCAGTTTCTCTAAGGCCATGCTAGAGAAGTACAAGCCCTGGTAGCTTCCAAACTGCAAAGGGGTCAAGCATGGGTCTGTTCAGTCTGACTGAACAAATATTCATTAGGTGCCTCCTCTTTACAAGACTCCCTTGGTTTCAGTTATCTGGAGACAGCTCCTTCTCAGATGGATATATCCAGCCCCGATCCCTCTCCTGAGTTAATCTCACATCACTAAATACCTACTAATCATTTCCAGCTGGATGTTCCACATGGATCTTAAACTCAATATGGCCAAAACTGAACTCATTTTCTTTTCCCCCAAACCCTCCACTCTGCTGAATGCCTCTGTTATTGCAAAACGCACTACTGTCCTCACAGTTACCCAGGCTTGAATCATTGCCGTCCTCTTCCTCACCATCACCTCCATATCCAATGTGTTGCCAAAGTCTTGTCAATATCCCACATATGAGACATCTCTCCATTCAGATCCTCGTCAGCCTCTTGACTTGCCATGGCTTCCTGCCTCGATTTTCTCTCCCACTCCCACTCAGCCTCATCACTACTCCCCCCCATCCCTTGGATTAGAGTATGGGACCATGAACTCCAAACCCTCCATTTAAGGAAGGAGCTCGGCTCAGAACATCTCTTCACTTCTCATCTGGCTGCACTACTTTGGGACTCCTCACCATGCCCCGCCCCTTCTAGCTTTCTTTTGGGTGTTATCTTCCTCCATGAGACTAAGCTCCTTGAGGGCAGAAGCTATCTTTTTTTCACACTTGTATTCCCAGCCTTAGCCCAGTGTTTGGCACATAGCAGGTGCTTTAACAAATGTTTATTGACTAACTCAAATCCCTCTTCCTTCTACATCACCATCAAACAGGTCTATGTCGTATCCCAACCACCTTGACAAACTTCTGTGGTTCCCTGTTACTTGAAGGATCATACACTCCTCTGTTTAATATTTAAATCTCTTCACAGCCTGGTGCCTTTACCGTTCCAGCCTTATGACACATTCATTCCCCTCCTGGCATTCATACTGGCCCACTCACTGTCTTTCTCACATGTCATCCATTTTCCGTCTCAGCGAAATCACTAGATTTCTGGCCATCCCCCAAGCCTAGGGGGTCACCGTAGTCACCCCCTCCTTACTGTCCCTTCAAAGAATCCCTCTGTCCTTAAAGAGTCAGTCCTAATGCCATCATCTGCTCCAAAAGTCTTTATTTTGAATAACTATTTATTTCATTAAATATTTCTCAATTACATGTTTAAAATGTTTTAACATTCATTTTTTAAAATTCTGAGTTCTAAATTCTCTCCCTCCCTCCCTCCCACCTCTCCCCCACCCCTTGAGAAGGCAAGCCATATGATATCAATTATGCATGTGAAGTCATGCAAAACACATTTACATATTATCCATGTCTGCACCAAAATTCTTAACCTTTTTTTGTTTAATCCTCTTGACAGTTTGGGGACAGTAATGCTACTGTGGTTTGCTGCCTATATTGTTAAGTGAAAAAAATGTGAAATTTTACTTACAGCTTAATGAAGGTAAAGACATAATTATTTTGGCCATCCAAGTTCACAAACCCCCTGAAATCTACGGACCCTAGGTTAAGAATCCCCTTCCTAATCCTCCAAGCTGCTGGTACATGCCCTTCCCCAAAGCAGCAGTATTCATTTTGCATACATTATCAAGTATTTACATGCATACATTATCAAGTATTTACATGTGGTCATTAGAGTATAAGCTCCTTGGGGGCAGGACTAAGTATTTTGTCTTTGTATCCCCACTGCTTAGCAGGGTACCTAGCCCAGGGTAACCACTTAATAAATGCTTGATTCACTGACACCAAACCAGCCCCTGCCTTGGAAAATTTATAAAGGCCAAGGTCATCTACCGCATCCAGGGCCATCACCAGTTGCCTTGACTTTTGTCTTGCCACTGGACGTTGATGACTCTGGAGGAGAGAGTGAGGCTGATGACTTCGAACAGCTCTGCATCACTTAAATACAATTCACATATAAGTCAAGATATCACTCTGTGATGTCATCAGTCCTCTTGGAGAATGAAAGACAAAAACAGAAACAGTAACATTTTACTGTGAACTAGTTCACAGAATTTGGAAACTCATCTGGCAACCCATGGAGGCTACCTTTCTGAGCCATGATTTGCCTCCATAGAGGAAGTCCCCATATCAAGAGGTCTGCAGATTCTTCAAGCATTGCAAAGCACAGAATGGATGAATGTCTTGGTTCACCATGGGCAATCAATAAATGATACTGACTGACTGATACGCAATTCCAATAGTTCTGTGCCCAGGATCATTTTAAAGGGTATTGAAGGGGTACAAAACAAGACATGTTATAGATTTGCAAATCAACCAATCAATAAATCTGTTACATTTACTAAGGGCCTACGATGCACCAAAGGTCTTCCTTCAATTATGTTCTATTTCATGTTCCGCCCTACCCTCTCTGGCTTCATGCCTGAAGTAACTTTAATTCAGTTCAACAAGACACTTAACAAAGCCTCTACTCAGTAGCAAGGACTGTGTAACCTCAACAAAAATAATCCCTACCCTCTAGGGGCTTACATTCTGGTAGGAAGATATATATACCTAAGCAAATCAATCACTAAGAATTTAGATTTCTAATTTCACTGGAGCACCCACACCCTTTCTTATGGTAGAAATGCTTGTACTTTCTTTGCATCCCCATGAGGAGTCAGACACAACTAAACAACCACCGTAGGTATCCCTCAGGGTTCTGTCCTGGGCCTCCTCTTCTTCTCCCTTTATAAAAACCTTATTTGCTGATCTCATCAGCCTTATGAGGCTGATTGACCTAATTACTATTGCTATACTGATGATTCTTAACTCTACTCACCTTATCCTAACTTCTCTGCAGACTTCCAATCTCACACACCCAACTACATTTCAGATATCTCAAACTAAATATCAAGTAGACATCCTAAATTCAATATGTACAAAACAAAACTATTATCTTCTCCCTGCAACCTCCCCCCACCCCTCTACGGTAGAGGGCAACATCATCCTCCCAGTCCCTCAGGCTCACAACCTAGGAGTTATCCTGGACTATCTCTACTCCATGTTTCTCTATTCTCCCCCCACCCCCAACTCAATAAACTCCAGGGGCTTCCCATTGCCTCTAGAAGTAAATACGAAATGCTCTTCTTGGCATTCAAAGCCCTTCATAACCTAATCCCCCCACTCCCCCACCTTTCCAGTCTTCTTACACCTTATTCCCTGACACATACTCTTCCATCCACTGACATCATATTTCATTCCTTGGCTCCAAGCATTTCTCTGGTTGGAATACTCTCCCTCCCCTAGGACCAGCTTCCTTTAAGTGCAAACTAAAATCCCATATTCTATAGGAAGTCTTTCCTGTTGTTGTTCAACTGTTTCAATAATATCTGACTCTTTGTCATTTGGGCTTTTCTTGGCAAAGATACTGTGGGTTGCCATTTCCTTCTTCAACTCATTTTGCAGATGAGGAAACTGAGGCAAAAAGGGTGAAGTGGCTTGCCCAGGTTCACACAGCTAGTAAGTGTCTGAGACCACATTTGGACTTAGGTCTTCCTGACTCCAGGTCCGGTGTTCTATCCACTGTGAAATCTACCTGACCTGCTCCCAAGCTTTTCCCTACTCCCCTTAATTCTAGTGCCTTCCCTCTGTTAGTGATTTCCATTTACTGTGTATATAGTTTATTTTGTATTTATTTGTTTTCATATTGTCTCCCCTGTTACACAGTAAGCTCCTTGAGGGCAGGGACTGTCTTCTGCCTCTTTTTGTATCCCCAGGACTTAGCACAATGCCTGGCACATAATAGGTACTTAACCTTGATTGACTAAAGTGCTGGAGGCACAAAGAAAAAGCAAAATTTACCAGCCTAAAGGAGAATTCACAGGGAAAACAAGCTGTACATGAAGCACAAAGTAATAAGGAGGTAAGGAGGAAAGGCCTCCCATAGGTGGTGGGCCTTAAGCTGAGCTTTGGAATTCTAAGGAGTAAACAAATACTATTTATATATTCAAAATTACACAAAACAATTTCAAAAGAGAAAAAAAACACTGAAGACGTGGAGACTGGTTAAGTAAGAGATGGCAACACTCAAGCTATGCATGGGATGAAGGTGGAGATTTGAAGGGTCAGAGGTGAGGAAGAAAAGCATTCCAGGCATTGAGGACGAGGCAAAGAGACTAGAGACACAAGGCAGTGCATGAGGTCCGGGGGACGGCTAGCAGCCTAGTCTGTCTGGAACAAAGGATGCAGAGGTCCTTGGGAGGCAGATTGTAGAGGGCTTCAATGCCCAGCCAAGCCTTTATCTTAGGAACACGTGGGAGCCATTGAAGATTTTTAAGAATGGAGGGAGGACTTTACACATGTGGTCAGGCCATATCAGATCTTGCACTTCCCCGGGCATGAGTAACAGCACCCCCTGCAGCCCCACTCAAGGTGCCACTTACCAGTAATGGTGCAGGCATCTCGGTATTTCCGGCAATCGGACACATCTTCCACAGCTTCACTTACATAGTGATCTTCGTGAATGCCCGGGCTGCAGGCTAAGACCGCATGGTCACAAGTCTCAGGAAGGGGCACAGTGGTGGCCGAGATGTCGGTGGGCAAAGCTGTGGCGTCCAGCTTGGCAGGTTTCACTGGGATATGCAAACTGCCATGGGGGGACCAGTGCTGGGGGGCTGGAGGGATCAGGTCTAGGTCTTGTGGACACAGCAGCTCTTTGGAAAGGGTCTGCAAGAAGAAGATCAGATCAGTAGAGGAACGGGGTAAGTTCTGCCGTGTCTAAGGCATTCACAAACATACCTAGTGAAACAGACACTTAAATAAGTAAGTAAGAAACATAAATGACCTCCTTTCATAGTTAAACAGGCGAGTCTGCAGGAAAGACTCAGTGAGACTATTTGAAGTCTCTTGGCAAGACCCAGGGACTCGTCCTCCTCCCCAAGTAGATGGAGTAAGTAACGTGTGATAAACCAAAGACACCTATACCAGAGGCAGAGCTGAAATCAATCACCTACAACCATTCATGGCTCACAGATCCCACCCCTCAGGCTTCCCCACCATTCCTACCAACCCAAGCCTCAGTACCCCCCCCAACCTAATACTCCCTTCCCCAGTTCCCAAATGAAAGCAATCCCTCAACTGTGCCCAAGGCTACAGGAAAGGTGTGGTAATCAACAATCCTAAAGTTAGTAAACTTTCTCATCTGTTAAAGAGGAGCTAGGTGGTTCAATGGATAGAATACTGGGCCTGGAGTCAGGAAAACCTGAGTGGGCAAGTCACTTGCCTCAGTTCCTCATCTGTAAAACGGACTGGAGAAGGAAATGGCAAAACACTTCAATACCCTTGCAAAGAAAACCCGAAATGGGGTCACAGAGTCAGACAAGACTGATGAGACTGAACAACAAAAATATGCCTAGGACTTTGTAAGGTAATGCACACAGAGTAAGTCCTCAATGAATGCTTGTTGATTTGACTTGTTAAGAGTGAACATTTAATCTGATGATCACACAAGTGAACAGAAACTTAAGCCAGGAAAGCTAATATTTTCCCCTCAAAAGGGTCAAAGAAGCAAAATCTAACTATTAAATTATAATTTGACAAATACTGCATCTATGGTCTGTGGATACAGACCAGATTCCGTGGTTTCTGAGTTCCTTTAGACTCCAAAACTCTGTGATACAATAGTCTTCCTGAAATGTTCAAGAGAACTTTTGCTGCCAATATTAAGGGCTCTGCCCATAAATAAGGAGGACCTAATCTAAAAGCATACTAATATTACATAATATATATATGTATATATATATATCATTTTCTTTTTTAAAATAAAGTCTTTAAGAAAGCAAGGATCCTTTAAAGATGACTTCACTTCTAGGCATTACAATTAATTGGTACAAGAAGAGGTTTTTTTGGTTTTGATACATTATGTAACATAGTCCTGATGTAAATTTTCAATATGGTTACTTCATTGCCTTAATTATTACCTTATCACGTATAAGATTTATAATCTGCACAGTTCTCCAAATTACAAAAAGAATTTTGTTGTTTCAGTCACGTCTGACTCTTCATTTCCCCATTCTGGAGTTTTCTGGGCAAAGATATTAAAGTGGTTTGCAATTTCCTTCTCCAGCTAATTTTACAAATGAGGAAACTGAAGCAAACAAAGTTAAGTGACTAGACTTGGCTATTAAGTGTCTGAGGCCATATTTGAAAAAAATACTTCAGAATAATTGGGATTAGAACTTTCCCACTTCTTATCAACGAATTTGCTCAGACTTAGAATTCTCAGAGTATTTCTCTTCCTTAATCTGTTGCCTTTAAATGGGCTGGCCATATGTAATGCCCATTAGCATTATCTTAAAACCACGTTAATTTGTGAGAAGAGCAGAGCAAAGGGTGAAGAATGAACTGAACAAGCTCAAAAGGAGAAAAAATTGCACTTTCTAACATGCCTGATCTCTACCCTTTTTAATTTGATTCAATTCAACAAGCATTTTTTCCCCTCTCTCTTTTTCTAAAATTAATTAATTAATTTAATTCAGTTTTCAACACGCACTTCTACAAGATTTTGAGTTCCAAATTTTCTCCCCATCTCTCCCCTCCCTCCACGCCAAGATATAGTGCATTCGACCCTTTCCCCTTCTATCACCACCATCCCCTTCTATCATCCCCTTCCCCTTCTATTTTCCTGTGGGACAGGATAGATTTCTATACCCCATTGCCTGTATATCTTATTTCCCAGTTGCAAGTAAAAACAATTTTTAACATTCATTTTTAAAACTTTGAGTTCCAAATTCTTTCCGTTTCTCTCTCCCCACCCACCCTCATTGAGAAGGTAAGCAATTTGATATAGGTTATACATATGCAGTCATGCAAAACACTTCCATAGTAGTCATGTTGTGAAAGACTAACTATATTTCTTTTCTTTTCTTTTTTTTTTTTTTTAAGGCAATTGGGGTTAAGCGACTTGCCCAGGGTCACACAGCTAGTGTCAAGTGTTTGGTCTAAGGCCAGATTTGAACTCAGGTCCTCCTGACTTCAGGGCCGGGGCTTTATCCACTGCACCATGTAGCTGCCCCAAGACTAACTGTATTTCCCTCCATCCTACTCCCCCCCCATTTATTCTATTCTCTCTTTTGACCCTGTCTCCCCTCAGAAGTGTTTGCTTCTGATTATCCCCTCCCCCAATCTGCCCTCCCTTCTATCATTCCCCTGCTCTCTTATCCCCCTCCCCCCTATATTCCTGTAGGGCAAGACAGATTTCCACACCCAAATGAGTGTATATGTTATTCCTTCCTTAAGCCAAATCTGATGAGAATAAGATTCACTCATTTCCTCTCACCTCCCCCCTCTTCTCCACTGTAAAAGCATTTATTAGATACATCATAGACCAGATACTGAGGACACAACAACAAAATTTAAAACAATTCCTGCCCTCAAGCAGCTTATTTCTACTTGATTACTAGTAGATTCTATTCAATATGACACAGTGGGGAAAAATCTTTGGACCTACTCAGTTTTATAAGGTTCTTTCTTATCACATCCCCACGAGGTATGGGTATTGCAAGTATAATCACCATTTTACAAACAGGGAAACTGAGGCACAGAGTGACCAAATAACTTGGCTTTAGATCACAGAGCTAATTGGTGTCAGAGTTGGGATTCAAATCCAGGTTTGCTGACTTCCAAGTTCTGTCCTGACCTCTTCACACTGTACCATGCCACCTTCTATGAAGGCTATGATTCCAAAAATGAAGACCTTTTTCCACAACTGGGACTGGCAGATCTAAAATAATAACAACACAGACGTAACCGCATTCCTATACGTGATTGTTAGGAGTGTTTTATATCCAAATTATGCAAGTTTTGTCCATAACAAGATCTGCTTAACCAGGCACAGAGCGGAGATGCAATGACCTGAAGTGAATAATGCTGAAATAATAGCCCTGAAGAGCAAAGTACACTCTTTATGCATAATTGCTGACAGATATAATCATTTTCTATTCTGAGTTATGCCTTGTTGCCCTTTAACATGAAACTTGCAGGAATTTCAGAGCTGTTCTGCTTGGCAGTATACAGACTTCTCTGGAAGCCAGTCTCTGTCTCCTTCTGTCCATACCAACTCTCCCTTCAGTGTTCTGACTCTCCGTGACTCCTTTTGGGTATACTGGAGTCCTTTGCCATTTCCTTCTCCAGATCATATTACAGAAGAGAAAATGGAGGCAAACAGGGTTAAATGACTTACCCAGGGTCACACAGCTAGTAAGTGAGGCTGCATTTGAACTCAAGTCTTCTTGACTCCAGGCCCAGCACTCTATCAACTATATCACCAGCTGTCCCAGTGGTCAGTGCCATTATTTAAATAGCTTCTTAACTGGCCTCTCTCTTGCTCAAAACTCCAATTCATCCTAAACTCAACAGCCAATATTACTTTCTTAAATGCAGGTCTGACCAAATCACACCTCTACGCACTAAATCCTGGAGGTTCTCTATTATCTCCAGGATCAAATATAAATTAAATGCCTTTGTTTGGAATTTAAAGTTCATCATGACAAGGTTCCTTACTAGCTATCAAGGTTTACTTGCTGTTTCTCCCTTCTCCCCTTCTTTCCTTCCTTTCTCCCAGAATGCTCTCCTCTCTCACCTCCACCTCTTAGAAACCCTAGCTTTTAGCCTTGACTCAGCTCAAGCACACCATAAGCAAGATGCCCCTTCCCATCCTCCTAGCTGCTGTTGCCTTCCAATCAAAAAAAAAAATCACCTTTTATCTACTCTATATTTAATTTATGTCTATTTACCTACATGACTCCTCTATTAAAATGTAAGTTTCTTGAGAGCAGGAACTATTTTTTATTTCTCTTCGTATACCCAATACTTAACATGGTGCCTGGCACACCTTAATAAATGCCTTTTAAGAGTAAACTTCACACTATTAACAGATTATCAGATTTCTAAGAGGCAGTAGTAACAAGGTAAACCTCATACTATCAACAAATTACGGGTATGAATTTTAAGGCAGCTGTAACAAAGGCCCTGCATCTCCTTTCCAGTATCTATCCTTTGGCCTAATTCCATGACTCCAGTATCTTTGCTAAGAAAACACCTAAAAGGGGTCACCAACAGTTGAACACAACTGAAAAATGACTAAACAAATATATATATATATATATATGTGTGTGTGTGTGTGTGTGTATATGTATATATGTTTACATATATAACTATATAGGTGTGTGACTGGATATTTCCTGCCTGTTAAAATAAGGGCAAATTTTGTATGGCATTCCTCATTGCTTTCATAGGATCATAGGTTTGTAGCTGGAGGGAACCTCAGATGAAATCTACTCCAACCCCCTCATTCTAAAGATGAGAAAACTGAAGCCCTCAGAGGTGAAGTAACTTTTCCTAGGAAACCCAGGCAATGACTGGTAGTGACTCCATATCCTATATTCTTCATGTTCAGTATCTTCTGACTCGCCTTGAAGGGACTGTTCAGGATGTTGAAGCCTGAAGTTTCTGAGAAATCATTAACCTTTGGCTGAGATGCTCATTTTTCACTCCTGAATTCTATTTTGTGAACCTCTCCTGCTGAAGTCACCAAGGTAATAATACTAAAAGAATAGCTGACGTTTAAACCATCTGAA